TGAAGAATTGAATGCTGTTAGTCTCTCATGTATAAAAGTTGACCTAGTTCATATGTTGTATGCTGTTATATATTATATACACATGCACAAAGGGGTATTCACTAAAAAAAAACATGCTCTCCCTCAAGCTAATCATTCTCTCCACTTTGCCTGGCAGATAAATATTGATGAGGATTACTATGTTACTGCAGTACACCCACGGGAAAACAAGAGACTGCTCCTCTCTCCCTCTTTCGCTCTCTCTTTCTAGCCCTTTCCCATTCGCTCTATCTCTCTTTGTCAGTCATGAACACCCACCCACATGGCCACACACACACACACACACACACACACACACACACACACACACACACACTCCAGCTGGCTCCAACATCCTTCAAAAATGTCTTACATACATATGTAATACATATTCTTTCTTTTTCTCCCCAACATTATTCCTTTAATTCTGTCATCACACACAGACTCATACACCACACACAGACTCATACACAACACATAGACTCATACACCACACACAGATACATACACCAACTATGAATATACCCCTTGATAAGAGAAAGTCACAGACAGTGCCTCCATTTTCATTGAGTCGTGCTATCTCTGTCTAGCAAAGGGCACAGATTGTGCTGGGATATTTCAGGAACATTTTGGGCTATCCACATCCTGTTTTGGGGGGGAGATGAAATTTAACAGGCTGCTTCCCACCAACCCACACTTTTTTTCTTTTATGCAGCCATTTCTGAGAAGCAGAGATAATGAAGAAATCATTCTGAGCTCAGTGTGAAGATGCCAGAGGATGGGACTTAAAGACACAACCAGACACAGGCACACACACACACTCCCACCGACTAGGGATGTTTTGGCAAAGGAGAGAGGAGTCCAATCTCAGCATAGCTACCACATTAGCTGACAGTCTCCATAGAGAAAACACATTATTAGCAGCTCACTGCCTTTAGCCTTTGCTCACAGTCAATTGGTGATCATCTCCTCATTGTTTGGCACAAATTTACTTTGAACTCATATGCAGCTGTGCCATGTGCGTCTATAGGTCTACGGGCTGAGTTTGGATGGGGAATAAAAGACAAACAAGACAGGGTGGAAGTCTCCCCAATGCTTCCCTCTTGCCTTTCCTCCCTTGCTCAAAAACATTCTTCCTTCTGAGCTGCCTTGGGGAGAAAAGGGGGTCCCCTTTCATGCTGAGCAGGGTGTGGTGCAAGGGGGCCTTCAGGAACCTTTAGTTCCAGTTATTCCCACCTCTTTCTTTCTTTCTTTCTCCTTTTCTTTGTCTCATTAATTGGACCCACTGACTACAGCATTCTCACCTACGGTCCCACTGGTTGAGATCCCTGTGAATCAATACTGTAGCCTGGCGGAGCAGGGCCAAAAGCACAAAGCCCTAAACTAATTTTCTAACAGAGAGATAATAAAAAGAAAAGTAAACAGGAACTTAGCAGGAGTGTTGCTCTGTTGGTTTCCACACCAACTCTGCCACTGCTGAAATGAATCCTGACTCTAATGTCAAGACAATTAGATCAAGCTGATGAGAAACAAGCAGGGTATCAACCTGACCAACACAATGCCAGAGTCCAGCACTGACCTTCTCTGTGATTGGTGCAGGCACAGTGTTTAAAGGTAAAGACGATTGATTAGTATTCCTGTCTCACCACTTGCCTGGCTGCTTCTAGTTTTCAGGCCAATAGCAATAAATTACAGTCATGCCATTGTAGGTTTGTATGCCACTCAGGAATGCTTGTTTTGTACATGTGTCTCTGTATGTGTGTGCGCCTGTGTGAACTTTTCCTTCGTTGACAGTGATGCACCCCTCCCGTCTTTAAACCTTTGCTCCCCTGCGGTGCCCTTGACGACAGCATGTTTCCTTGGAGAGTGATTCAGCCTCCTCAAGTCTGAAATGTTTTTTGTCTGTTTTGACCCCTGCACACACAAACACACACAAGTCTCTCCCTTGTTTGTTTGTAGGTTTTGTTTTTAATTTCACAGAAAAAAGTTGAGCAGCTTAACACGATAGCAGGGTAACAAAGAAAACTGATAACCCTAATTCAGCCTGCTAACAGAAAACATCCTCTGAAAGAAACTGTCTTAAACTGTCAGGACCGACTGTGAAATTTCTCATCATGGTATCATACTGTAAAGACATTGTGTTTTGCTTAGACTTTCTAAAAACTCTTGTATCTCACTTTTTCCGAGTTGCTACACTTCTTTCATGTTCTGCCAGTTTAATTTCTCATATAATGCTCTAATAAAAGGCATGCAAGACACAAAGAAAGTGGGAACAAGCAAAAAAGAAGCATGAAAAGTCTAAATATGACAGACGGGATTATTGAACCACAATAACAAAGTAGAGAAAAAGGAGAAAATGACATATAGAAAAGAAAAGGTCTCAAGAAGAAAAAAGGATAGAAACAAAGTTAGTCTCCTATTATTCTGAAGCATGCTTTCATAGCTGTGGACCATGACCAACAGATGGTTAGATTCTCTCTATAGATATTAGTCAATTAACAGTGATAGAAAGCCATGTCCATTAGAAACTACCGACACAGGTGTGAAGCAATTCATCTGCATTTGGGATGTAATTGTATACAGAGAAGCTGAAAAGCAATTTGGGGGATCCATTGTGAAAATATGGATCAAACAATTTACAGAATATTAATGGTTTTGGAGAAAAGCATTTAGCCAGTGGGGATTTGCACCAGCTAACCTCCACATGTTCACTGAGAGATGCTGAAGAATATGAAAAACTAGGCTTGCAGCAATAAATATTTCCACTACAACATTCCCCTCTGCTTACTCAGCTGCTTAGGCTATAGATAGAGATTTCGTAAATATTTTTTTCTGTATGCTGTTACCCTTTTATGTAAATACATAGTATAATACACAGTTGCATAATACAGAGACTGGATGATATAATAAGTTATCTAACATTACAAGTCAGCAGAACAAAGCTGCAGCTCTGTATAGAAATTAAAGTATTTCAGAGTCACAAAAAGGGCACAGGAGGTTAAAGTCATAACCCAACAGAGAGTCAACTTTTATAGAACCTCTGGGGTAGAAATGGGTGATCACTGAACTTTGTTCACCTGCCATCAGCAGAGGAATCACCCAGACTGTCAGAAGCTTTTGTTATACATGCATTTTGAGGATTTATTGAACACTTTTCTGCCCATGTGGTTTGTTGAAAATCTGATGCATTCACTAACCTACATGGCAAGCTGATGCACATCCACCTGTTCAGTCATTTCCTCAGCACAACAGTGCAATAATGCAAATGGGTGCATGTAAATCACAACCGGTAATTCTCCTTCAGTCTGTCGACGCACAGCTGGCTGAGAGAAGAATGGGAGGCAAAGGGAATGCAATCAGGAGTGTAAGAGATGGAGTAACGCCTCCCTCTGTTCCTGTGTGAGAAAATCTACATTTCTCCATTAATTAAGGTGGTTTGAGTGGCTGTATGTGTGTCTCTGTGGGTGCACAGGCACCAGCCAATCAACCGGTAGCAATTACATCTCTCAGAAGGACAGTGAATATTTAGTTTCCTTCAGTCAAGCACTATTTTGTCAGCCAGCAGATTGTGTTAGAAAACAGTTAACCAGTTTAGAAGCCACTGTTATATTACAGACACTCCACTTGAAATCTCTGAAAAGTGAGACCTAAAAGCATCAGAATAAATTCTGACTTACATCATCTGACACTTCACTTCCTCTGATGTTCTTGAGAGGACTTACAGTACAACTTCACTTCACTCCACTCTTTGCTATTTTCTGCAAATGAACCAGGTTGTGTTTTATGTTTTTTATGCACAGAGATGTGATGGTTATAGCAGTTATTTTATTGTTGAAGCAGAGTGGGAATATATATGTGTATCAGGGCTTATTAAAGCGAAAGCTATTTTCATCCAATATGCAGTAGCCACAATGTGTAATTTATGATAGCACGTGTATTATGTGTGTGCTTGTGTGCACATTAGATCAAAGAGAAAACTACAAAGAGACCAACAATTCTCAGAAGGACTCATGGCATTTAGAATTCATTCACTCAAAGAGGCATGTTAATAAAACTAAAGTCACATTGTATCAAGTGAGAAAATAGATTTAAAAAGAAATGACGATCTTTTATGATCTAATAAACACCTTATGCTTTTGGGAAAGCAGTTTGTAAGAGCCGTTTGTCCAGCTTACTCATCACCTAAACATGCACTCTAATTAAGTTTGATTCACTTAATACCACTGTAGTTACAGCATGAAAGAGAGCTGTCACACATTGTAGAATGAATGCGCACACATGCACAAAAAGGCACAGCTGCAAACTTATGTGCTACTATCTGTTTGTACGCACACACATCTTTCTCATGGTGTAAAGAACTTTGCTGAAGAGTGAGAGAGGTGAATCAGGTGGCAGGTTACAGCCTGTCTTTACATCTAACACACGTTAACTTTGCAGCACACATTCTATGCCTAACCTTAACAATTATTTTCAGTCCTCAGCCCACAGCCACCAGATGTACAGTACACAAACACATGAACACTGAAGCTTCTGATGCCTGGCAGGCAAACAGATTTCACTGTGTGAAACGACCAGACAGGACAAGACTCAGGGATTTAAATCAAGCTAGATACTGTAACTCATTTTTCAAGTCACTACAACTATGCAAACAATGACAGGCAAAAACAAGGTGCACTCAAAGATAGCTCTCCCACAGCCAGACTTCTCTGTAACCTTGAAAACAGAGGATGGCAGTGAAATACATTAGCAGTGACAGAAACAAACTGAATGATGGAAAGATTGACAGACTCAGACTGACAGGGAGAGAAACATAGAGAAGTATTGTCCACTGTAGAGATTAAAACCTTTGGTGCTGACTTCCACCAACTCAGATGTAATGCCATCCCCTGGATTAGCCAAGAACCTTTTTAAATCCCACTAACACACACAGAAAGGGAGAGACAAGTCAGAGAAAGAGGATGTCAGGAAAGCATCTGTCTTACCCTCTCTCCACTGTTCCTCCGTAGAGTCCCCACCGGCAACTTAAGCATCAGCCGGCGGGTTCTCCCAGGCGTTACTGTTCCTTGGACCACCATAGCACGCTCCAGAGTGTGTGTGTCTGTGGGTGTGTGATCATTTGTGTGGGTGTGGGAGGTGGGTGTTCTCGCCGTCCCGTCCAGCCTGGCAGCAGGAGCTCACACGAGCTTGTGCGTGTGTGTATAAGGAAAGAAGCTTATGATGTGTGTGTATGGGTAGCAGCTCTACACCAGTCCTATGTCCCTCTCAGTGTCTCTCTTTCACTACGTGTTAAAACACTGCCCATTCTGCTCCGCTCAGCTATGCTCCACTCTGCCGCTCAGGAGGTGAATGGAAGTGTGAGAGTGTGTGTGTGATAGAGGGAGAGGGAGAGGGAGAGGGAGAGGGAGTGCGCTTTGTCTATCCCCGCTCCTCTCCAGCGCTCTGGTAGCTCCCCCTCCATGTCTCCCACACACACTTCCTTCAGATGTGGGCTTAACCAGGTCACTAGAGCAACGTGACGTTACAGCCATTATTAGCATATGCAATCATGCCACGTGATCCAAAAAATAATTGTGTATGAGCAGAAATAGACTCACATCCAACACACACATATCAAGGATCATGTGGGAAACCTCAAAAGGAATATGGGATGCTTTGCCATCTGGTAGAGAGATTATCTTTGAAATCCCACGACCAGCTTTCTCTCCCTGCCTCTCTCTTTCTCTGTCTGTACTGGACACAAAGAAGGAGCACACACACACATGCATGAATGTGCAGTCAAGCATGCACAATGCATGGATGCAGATATTGATCATCCTATCAATTGGTTTATAATTTGCGTGTACAAATGTGTACTGACCTGATCTGATCCCAACCGCCCCAACCCGTGTAGCAGACTTTTAGTTTAGTTTTAGACTTCGGGCTTTGCGGGGATCTTTTACCATGATGCCTGGAGGCTTCATTTAGCTGAGTCAGTCCTCTGTATTGACCATGGTAGTCTTAACATGTCCATTAAAGCTATTGGACTCGTGAGTTACAGCAGCACCTAGTGACTTACTGTCATACTCTTGTCATCACTCACCGCTGAGCTCTGCTTGCCTCTGCACAGCAGTACTGAATTGATTAACTAAAGTGGATCAACACACACACACATGCACATACAGTAAATGCAAGCACACACCCATGTTCACTATGCAAATACACATGTACAGTACATACAGCCACCAGTCAAAACGAGCAGCCATCAAGCCTTTCTCATGCCCCATACTGTATCTTTAAATGAGAACCCCCTGATGGCCTCTCTCTTGACTCTATATGTCACACATACACAAATGCATGCATAGACACACACTGTGCTAAAGCTGAGCGACAAGCATACAGGGGAAAATCATCTGAAGTGGTGATCCCCGAGTAAGCATTATTTATTCAACACCCCGGCCCACATCACTGTGTGAGTGACTGTGGCCTACATGAGAAATATCAGAGGGCTATTTATAAACTCAGTCTACAGACATCCAGGTCTCACAGACGACATACTAGAGAAACTGAAAAATGGAAAGACAAGACAATTCATTTCTCCGTCAGCCCTGAATAAGCTGCAACTGGTACTGTGTGATGTGGCGTTTGATGGTAATTCAAATTGTGATGACAGAGATTAACTACCACTGCTGATTCAGGGAACAAAACGTTGCTGCTTACATAGGGATCTCATATGACACTTTGACAGGAAGATGACAATACGCTCTCCTAATTGAACAGTTCAAGTATGGCTTTCGCTCCTTTGTTCTCTTCTGCTAAAACATTTTTACAATTCATTCCCTCAAATCCAGTGATGCTTCAGGTTAGATGCACAGTGACCCATTGCAACCAACATGCACACAACAATAAAAGCTAATAAAATTTCTCTTGCCAATAAAAATGTGAAATATAAACTGCACACATGATAAAATAAAAATACAACAATTCTGACACGCATCATTGTACTTCATTTTCTTTAAAATGAACTATTAATATGCATATGAAAACAACAAACAAAAAACTGTAGATAAGAAGAGATGGAGTGAAGGAAAAGAAGAAATAAAGAGAAAATGACTGCCTGCTTACGAGAGTGAGGGAGGTGCAAACAAAGCATCTGGATTGTCTGGGTTTTATTTTCACACTGTGTGTCTGCCTTGTCTTTGTTCGCAGTTGTAGTAATAATAAGCAGTGGTTCTCAGCTGTAGAGTCCTGGTAGTGTTACATATTAATTTACCCTGATAACCCAGCTTGTGTCTGCCCATGGCTGGCTGACTTATCCCTATGGTCCTGCTCCTCATTGTGTGCTTGTGTGTGTGTGTGTCGAGGTGTGTGTATGCATGTGCAAGGGTGGGTGTGTTTATGGAAATGCCCTCTAGCTAGACTCTTTCTCTATCCCAGGCAGTGAGGGAGGCGGTTGAATGTTTGTGTATCGAGACTGACAAATTACAAGGGGTTGAATTACAGTACCACTGCACATAAAAACAAAACAAAAAACAGATAAACAGTTATGTAGCCTGAATGCTACCACCATGATAGAGTAATTCAATTCATCTCTCACTGTGAACTTCTGTCTGTGTATGCTGTTGTCTTTCTCTATCTCATGAGAGTGAGATGAGCTAAAGCGGGACCTCCCATCCTTCACCAGGCCAGAACCAATCATAATGACTTTTCCACAGGGGAGCATTCACTTCAGTTATCTTCCCCTCAGCAGCGTCTGTGTAAGAAGGCCCGGGAACACTTTCACATGCTCAGAAAGGTAACAGATAGCTTGCAAGGTTTTGAAGAAATGGGAACATTTGTGTGACTCATTGTGAAAACTGGGACACATTTGTGTTTCTGAGAGATTTGATAGAACACGGGGACAGGTCATCCTGGTCAAATCATGTTGCTGTGCACAACATCTGCTCAACCTGCCATGAGGTGACTGTGTCTATACCGTATGTGTGGGTGTGTGCACATACTGTATATCTGTATGTGGGACCAAATCGCAGCCTGAAAAATCTCCATCTTTGTATGTTCTGTGTATTTATGACCTTATGAATGTGTTTTTAACACTGACAAGGTTTGTAGACATTGCATCTTTGTCCGAGTTCAGTCAATATCTAAACCCATACTTTGCTATTATACAGTCATCTATGCCTTAATCATTCCGATGGGTCAATCAGTACTTTATTATGAGTACCAGCAGACTTGAACGGAGTGTTAGATGTGAAATTTGCCCCAGTGAACAGCATTAAAAGCTTCTGAATAATTCACATTTCAGTCTCCTGAAATGCCTCTGTGTATGCCAGGCTGGTTTACATCAGAATCAGGACTCTACATACTAAAGAAATTGAAGATAACTATTGAGTTCATTGACATGCACACAAAACTGATTCAGGTTTATGATAATCATCTTTAAAATAATTATTGATTCTGCTGAGTAAAGACTGATGAGGCAAGAAAATGGGAATGAAGACTAAATCATTTAAATTTGATTAATACTATGGCAGAAATTAAAGTTTTCCCATAACTTTGTACAATAACACAGAATGTATGACTGTGTTCTACATTTTTAATTATATATTTCTCTTTTGGTCAACAAATCTAATTAAAAATGAAAACAAGGAATTGATTGTACTATCAGTAATGTACTGTACAAAATTAACTGTAGTTTACTTGGAGTCAACATTACTACAGTACAGGAAATAAAAACATTAACACTTTGTCATTTTATTTTTTACATTTTTACTTTACATTGTTCACAATAAGAAAAATATAGCATAAACACCAGCTTTGTAATTCCTCAAAAGTCATACCTTGATCCTGATACAACTTGACACTGTGACTCCAGCCTAATATTGATCAGTACCACGATCACATTAATGTAGATGGGATGATAATTGTTAGGTGGGGAGAGATGCAGTGGAGGAAGATGATACAAAGAAGGAGAGGGGAGACATCAGCTTCAGTGCTCTCACTGCAGGGCACACCCATTACATAACAGAATGTCACACATAATACATCCAGTCAATAGCCTGAACACATCTACCGCAGCAATGTCAAAAGACAATAGTACACTGAAGATTAGGTTACGCACATATGCATGGACACGCATGCTGCACACTGTTGTGATACAATTCTCATTGTAAAAGAGCACAAATCCTTGGTTTTGGTGCGTCACAGTGTTTGTGCTCCTGGCAGATTGAATGCTTTCAGAGAGCGCAGGCTCTTTGTGACTGACCAGCTCTGCCAAAGATATGAACAAGTGCTTTATGGCTGCTGGAAACAGAGGAGACAGTGATGAAAAGAGCATAGCAGAGTAGCGCAGTACAGCTGTGATGGAAACAAGCCCATCCAGCTGTGGAGGGGAAAAAAGGATCTGGGAGAAAGAAGAGTAAGAGAAGGGACATCTAGCTCTGGCCCCAGGCCTGCATCATGGGGGGGGGACTTGGAGGGTGGAGACATTTGTGGAGTGCATGAGAAGGAGATTCAACAAGGACTGAATGCATTTTTAATCATGCTGCTTCATTTCCTGACGTGACTGTCGGCCTTTGTGTGAGACTGTGAGGCATCCTCTAAAAAAGGAACTGCCATATCTGTGTGTTCGTGTGCGTGTGTGTGCTCCCTTTACAGCTCACAGAGCCCAGTGAACCAGCAACACAATACACAGCAGCTTTGGCAGGAGCTGATACGATGCATGAATGGACATTTTAGAGCAGCCAGAAAATAAATAAATACAATCAGAGGATAAAAATCAAGTCACTATATTATTAATATTAAAAGGTCTTGTCACTGTGTATGTGGCAGTGTATAGTAGCACAGGTGATTTCTTAAAAAAACATATTAGATTATTTCCCCCTACAGTAGCAGATTTGATGGGTTTCTAAATTTTAAGTTGTTATGCATTGTGATGCACTTTGTAACTATGTCATGTGCAGTCATGTACTTTAAATCTATCACACCGATCTTGAATACAGGAGAGATTAAAGTACTGATCTGAAAAATTCACAGTCTACAAATGACTCTGTTTCAACTCAAGCTTCCTGCAAGCAATGAAAGCAACAAAACTGTGACCTCTTTTTTTTCTTGTAGTAAAATACATTGTAAAGGAAGTTCACTGCTTCAGATTCTCTCAGCTTTCCCGAATCATTCATAATCATTCATGTGCTGCTGTGCTAATGAAACTAGTTATCTAACCTTGAATTTAGCCGCACACTCAGCTGCTGCTAATTATGGGTCTGGAGATCCATAAGTGGGTGAAGAAACATTATTCAAATGACTGTTAATATTCCTCTAACAAGCCAACCTGAGTTAATTCACACATACAGAAATGTTTAACACTTACATGTATGCTGATACCCAGTTAGATTCACTAAA